CTCAGTCAGTGCCTTGACAGTTCTTTGTCATCGGAAAATGTCAAAAGGATGAAACTGGAAGAAGCTTTATGAGACAGATTGGCAGTCTCTGTATCTTTTATCCCTGAACTAATTTCAAAACATCTATTACTACTATCAGAGAACTGGAAATATCAGGCCTGCCTGTTCTAGGCAAATACGTTCACTGCTGTTTCCAGTACCTTTGATTGTTTCTTGCCCGTCTGCTTACAGAATTAGTTTTCTGAATGCAGACAAAGGGCCTCTTTGTGCCTGAGATGTTGACTTTTATTTTTTGTATGGTGTGAAGCACAGTAAATCTGATATTTTCACTGAGCTAGCATGGAAAAAAACACCGGGTTTGTTTGTGGTTTTGTTTGTTTTTTTTTTAATACCCCCACACAGAGCTTTCTACAACATCCCTGTGGCTTTGTTTCTGTGACCAGTGGAAGAGTGTATGCTGATATGTCTTACAGGTTTTTGCCACTGGGACTTGGTTTTGTGTGGGAGAAGGTGCATCCAGTAGAAGTTGGGGGGATTTGCTACCTGTGAGCAGTAACCCTGACAGATGGCTAAAGATACTTGGAGCTGCGTGTCTTTCGGGGTGGGGGCGCAAAAAAGATCAGTGAAATAGTAAATCAATTTATATCCACTAAATAAATAATAAATGGTGTGCAGCAACTTTTTTGAAGTGAAGAGGAAGCATTCCTCCCCCTCCTAGCAGCCAGTGGAAGGTGGTGGGGATGTTGCATGTTTTCATGCCAGCCCAGTCTTGGATTACCAGTTTGTGATCATCTGGTTAGAAAGTGTGTGTGATTCTCTCCTAAAATTTCTGTGTTATCCCTGATGTCTGTATATATTTCGTAGCATGTATTTAACTAATGCATATCTTTCAGGAAGGCATCCAGTCTAGATTTTAAGATGTTGAGAGATGTCAGATATGTCTTTGTCACCACATTATGTTGTGACTCTGTGGGTTAATTGCTTTTACTAAGCCTTACTTTAATTTGAATCTAATTAGTTGTAATGTCCTCTGGTTATTGATGGTTTTTATCTCTCACACTAAATAATTCTATATTGCCATCATGTGGATATGATGTTAGTTACTAAGGTCATGGTGTGGCAGCAGAGATCTATGGAGCTCAGGAAGTTTAATTAAATAAAAAAGGAAAATGAAAAGGAAAAGAAGGAAAAAAAAAAAAAAGGAAGTGCTGGGTAGAAGGTTCTGTGGGCTAATATAGTTTTTGTAGGAATTGATTCAGACTGTTTGGCGCAAAAAGTGTAGAAATTGCAGCTAAGGAAGAGTTAGCCTGGAGATGCCTCTGCCTGGACGTTTCTCTTGTTTTACTCAGTATTGTGAGAAATCTTTTGTGATGGCCAGCACAGGGATATTTTTGTAGAACTGAGGATATGTGTGTGCAAACAGCCATTTTTGGAAATAGAGGATGGGTGTTCAAAACAAAGTATCACTTAGCTATTTGTTGCACATTGTTCTTACTTCTAAAAAATGAACCTTACAGCAGCATGAGATTTTCTAAGGCAGTCTGGAGGAAGAGATGGCGATTTATCTGCAGGAGAGATTAGGGAGACAGAAGATCTGCAAATTGGCAGGAACTTTTTTTCTGTGCCCTCTCCAGGGTTGGCTGCAGCACTTCCAAGGCAACATTCCTCAAACTTGTTGGAAACATTTGCTGGATTTCTTTCCGTGCTATAAAAGCCTGCTGCTTTCACGCGGGCCCTGGTGAGGTTCTGTATTTTCTGATCCGCTCTTCCGATTCTCTGCTGGTCAGAATTGCCCAAGTCAGAGCATGCTGCTTAACTTGAGCAGAGAAATCTTGCATCGGGCTACCGATGTGTCACCCAGCCAGTGCTTTTTGAGCCCTGGCAGTGTCCGGTTGCTAGAACATCCCTGAGGAGTTGTGCAACACTGCTGAGCCCTGTTAGTCAGCTGGGCACGTTCACACTCCTGGCGGATGTGGGTGTCGTTACCCTGTCCTGAAAGGAAGGGGTCACATAGTGCCTTTGAGTGAGCTACAAGCATGGAAGAGATGACTTTACACAGAGGCACCGTGAGAGTTAAAGCTGCATTTGGGCTTTAGCCCTTGTATTAATTCTCTGTATCCGTTTCTTGGTTGTAAACACACTCCAGAAGTCTGAAGGAGGATGGGGGGTGGTGGGAGTCAGCCTGGGGCCGCTCTTCAGGGGTGGTGCAAAGGCTGGCCCCCACTGCCACGGGCAGCAGAGCCACAGGATCTGGTGGAATCCCAGGCTTGGCATGCCAGGAGCGCGCAGGATTAGTTCCACCCTGGGAAAATGGCTTTCCTTGTACTGGTGTACCCTGTGCAGAGGTTGAGTGTGCGCGGGGATGGCCGGTGGTCCCTTCGGACAGACGGCTTTTTCCGTGCTGATGTCCGAACCCTGGCTCCTCAGAGCTGTCAGACCCCTTGAGTTCTGCAGCAGTTTACAAAACAAATCATCAGCCCCCAGAATTAACTCTGTGCTTTTACAGAATTAAGTTTGGCATAAGGGCACCTTCCTGCCCTTCCTGTTTATTGCCATTTTTTTTTTAAAAGACCCGCTTAAAGCGTGTTACCTGTAATGCAAAGGTGTGCTGTCTGAGTGGAACTGTTTTAAACTAAAGCCTGAAACAAACATTAATAGGTTTAAACATGTAAAAATGTTCAATATTTAAAATAGATCGTTTGGGGAACTTTAACCTGTGACCTCTGTAGAACTGATGAATGGAAACTTTGTCTTTTTTCTTCTCATTCAAAGGAAAATGACTAATTTGCCAAAGCTTTGCTCTTTAATCCATTGTTGTGGTTTCTCTGTGGAGTTACGTCTTATTGTACTTCTCTTACCGAGTGATCGTTTTATGAGAGGCACCAATTTACGGCAAGGAAAATGAACGTTACTATTTTGGAGTGTCACAAGTACGTACAGAAATTTAATCAGTGTTGTGTACCTTTATAGATGTGCTGAAGACTTGCTACTGGTCTAAGAATAGGCACTTTTTTTATTATCTCTGGGAGTTTTAACAGACTTTAAAGTGCAGCCTATGGCTTAAGCCCACCAGCCACGTTTCTGTTGCATTGCAGATGCCTGGAGCTTTCAGGCAGTGTCACAAACAAAGTGCATGCTTTGGTTTGGTTGCCACTGATAATTTTTTTGTCATCTAGGTGGATGAGAGAGATCTCTCATATCACAAACTGGCAGTTAACCTCTTATTTTTGAAACGCTGAGGCCTGACCGCTTGCTTTGACCCTGTGCAACGTGAACGTTTTGGTTTCATCTCTGTAGTTTTGGACATATTATCAAGATTAGGACAAATGTTGAATTTTTTTTGAAGGTTTTAAAAACCTCTCTGTATCCAAACAGGATTGTTCCTGTTAATTATGAATGTCAAAATGTTGATCAGTTTTAAATTGTTATTAATTTTTGTTGTATTTTTCTGTGTCTTATTCTTCACGATAACTTAAATGCTAAAGTACTGTTGAAGTAACAGATTTGTTGTACTGTCTATTTATCGTATTTCCTTATTTCCGGCATGTGTCAGATGATGTGTTGGTATATGGAGGGTAGAGAGCTGTGACATTCGTTTGTTCATCTTTTAAAATCTCTTTCAGAAATGCTTTTGTGACTTTACCATTATTTGGAATAAAGAAAACAAGATTATTTTTTTTTTTTGTGACAGGGTTGATGGTAGGCTAAGATGGGACTAGTTGTTCTTGTTGACAGATTCTTTCTCTAGCAGTACCTACAGATTTAACTTTTTAAACCAGAGGCAAATGGTACTGGCTGTTCTTTGGAATTTTAGTTCACTTGGAGAACTGACAGAAAGATTAGTAAATAGATCCTTTGTGTGTTCTCAATGATTGTTATTGTTTTTAATGTAGTTATTGCATCATTTAATGACAAACAAGAACACCTATGCAGAGCAATGGATAATAAGGGTGTGGCCCCATAAGATAATTTTAGTTTGTGCTGGAGATTGAGCGAGGTCATTGACCACTAGCTCTGCTGGGGTAGTCGCTGGGGTATTCCTCCCTCCCTTCCGTCCAGGGAGCAGATCTGTCTGAACCTCTGCTCCCCCCACACCCCCCCCAAGAGGGACTTAAACAATTTCCTTAGGTCGTTTTTGTCATACACTTTATTTGGAAAAGAAGAGCTCTGATAGTAATTTCCTTGAAAAACCTACAGTTTCTGAATGTGACAGAAGGATGGTTGAAAAGAGAAGTTAGAGTCGAGCTTAATCTTACCCTTGCCAGGAAAAGCCCGCACTGCTTTGGATTTTTACAAAACCCAAACCTGAATTATTTAATTTAAATGCCCCAGTGTTTCAGTGGGGAAAGGGCTAGATGTGAGATACAGAAAGTCAGGAAAATGCTAGTGCAGAAAAGTAAGCTGCTTAATGTTCCAGCTTTTCAGTAGTTCAGGGTTTGTTGCAAATTCTCCTTGACCTTCCTGGCCTTACATATTTTTGTATGCATATACCTTTAGGCACTGCTTTCCCCAGTTTTTGGACGTAAACCTACTAGAATTAGCTGTAGTCTGTAGTCCCCTTGCTTCTGGTGTATGGCCCCAACTCCCATACAGTTCTAAGGGGAAGGCACTGCCCTGCTTAGCTTGGCTCTTTCCAGCCTTCCCAGGCTAGAACATAAACCTTTCTGCATAATTCCTGTCATGCTTACCTTGCTGGGGATGTTCTTAGTTGCCTTGTCTTCCTCTTGCTGTATTATTTTAAAGTGTACGTGGATACTAAAGTAATCCCTCTTTATGCAGGGAATTAATCCTGACTTCACTCACACAAGTTCTTCTGTATGCTGTTCATTTTTCTGGCTGCTGTAAGCACTTTACATTTTGTCTATTTCCATAGGAGAGTGGATTTCTCTTTTGGTTTTTTTTAACTCTCTAGCTGTGGAAAGATAGGGTGTGAATCTACATTTGCTTGCTTTAAAATTTTTTCTCTGGCAGGTAGGTTTGCATGATGCTCTGCCACCTCTAGGAGCTGCCATCGCTTTGTCACTGCTTGTCATTTTCTGGTCAGAGCTACCAACTTGCTCCTTCCAGAAGACAAACTGATTGAGAAGGTCTTTCATCCTGGCTTCTGGATTTCATGCTAGACTGAAAATACATTTATGTGGCTAAGCATCTCAAAAACTTGCTGCAAGAGAATCTGGCTTCAGCTGGGAATGAAAACTGAGCTAAAAGGGAAACGATGAGATATCTTGCTTCCTTCTCATCAGACAGGGGAGCTTGTTGAATTTCAAGTTGGTGGTTGTGGCACCAAGAATAAGCCAACAGCAAGGTGCATGAAGCTCTCAAACGCTGACCATCGGCTTGGCTACCAACTCCTTCCAGGCATGAATGAAAGTAGACCATTGTTCTAGTAGACGAGTTTCTAGATACGTTTATCTAAATGAAGATGTGCTAATTGATTTTTTGGCAGCTTACATGACACTCAATGCATTGAAAAAGTAATTGACTTCATATAGGTGTCATGACAGTGACACGGTAAGATGGAAGACAGCATTTGAGTAGCTGCTTAGATATTAGTTTTGAAAAAGTAAACAATAAAACAGACATAAAATCTAATGCATAGCCTTGCAGTTAATGCGATCTTTTTCTGTGATCAAAATATAGGTTGTTTTTGTTAATTATATAAATATATAAATGCAACAGACGAGACCATGGTCTGATTTAAGTGAATTAGAGCATTTAATTCAGTCCCCTGCTGTACCGCCTCCTTTGAGAAGACTGTATTTAGTGTTTTAAACTACTGGAGGTTACAAAATAGGCACTGTGTCACATGGCTGTTAAATGGATGTTCCGTATGGGATGTGTGAATCACCTGGTGTTTGGCATCCTGGGAAGCAAGTCAGAGGGAAGATGCATCTGTTGAGCAGGAAGCTTGCTCTGGCGAAGCCTTCACGTATTTTTTTGACGTGTTGATTGCTATTTTTGAAAATACTCGTGGATCCTTCTCTTTTTTCTGAATCTGGTTAGTCTGTGTCCTCTGGACTGCGAGGAAGGATAGTGTTAAATGCTGAACACCTTTTCAGCAGCGGCAGAAGAGGATTGCATCTGCTTATGAGGTATTGCATGTGTTTTCCAGTGGGATTAAAAGGATGCTGTGAGAAGTGGCCGTGGTTTGGAATAGGATGAAACTGTCGTTCAAAATAATGCTTGCCTTAAGTTTCAGAGCAATTTTAGGTATATTACTAATGTTTAAAGGTAAGCAAGTGGACTTCTTAGAAATCCTTGGGGATCTCTGGTTTATTGTGCACCGTACAACTTGAATATGTAGAAACTTTGGGTTTTTGGCATAAAATGGAAATGTAGTGTCATAAAATGGAAATGTAACGCTAACTTCTATTACATTGGAACATAAAAAGAAAATGTAAAAATAGCCAGTATGTACAAATACGTGTCACATACGGTCATTCCCAGTGTTTCTGTTCTCTAAGCTTGATGCTTTATACCTGCCTTGTTTTAATTGTTTGTTTTAAAAGATGTTGTGGACTCTAAAACAGGACTTGGGTCTTTATGATTTGATCGTAGAAGGGCAGACTTCCTGTACTGATGTCAGATAAGTGTTCCACTGAAAATAATAAATGGCTTCTCGTTAGGAAACAAAATTTTAAATTAAACAGAAGGTGGACAGTGCAATGTAAGAATATTATTGTAAGAATATCTTGTAGTCAGTGTGTGTATCAACTAGCTGCAGTATGTTCTCTTCTTAACTCCCAGCTCTGGCCGTGTGTACTTAGCTCTCTCTTCTGTCACACGTAGTGCTTTACCAAATCACTGTGAGCAAATGGACTCTCACGGACGGGGAAATGAGATCTTGTGACGGCAGGTAGACTGGCAAGGCTCTGCCTGTACCGGGACATTACAGCAGTCCCTGTTCCCGGCGCAAGCACAACCACCAGGCTTTACTGGGGAGCTTTGCCGACGAGTCTGTGACAGCGGAAACCCCTTCTCTGGCGATGGCTGCGGGTAGTTCTGTGGGTGCAAGCCTCTAGCTGACAGCCTGTACCTGCTTGAGAGAGCTAAGGTGGAATGAAACTTACGTAAGACTGGCTGGGAATGGGGCATCTAGAGGCAGCTTTGTAATTCTTACCCTTGCAACTGGTCTCATTCAGAGATTTATTTTTTTTTTAATGGCTAGTTTTTCTTGTAAGGTGTAATTCCCATGTCTGGAGTGAATTCCCTTCTGCCTAGTCTAAGAGTCTGTTCAGTCTACTGCAGTTTTTATTAACAGGCTTTGAAACAGAGCTGTGCAGCAGCTCCATTGAGTATGTACCTGACAAACCAGGAGAGAAACCCAGAGGCTTTTAGATCGAAGCGTTAGCACAGTTGGTGCTAATTTTTTTCAAGTTACACTTGTTCACTTGGCAAGTGTTTGTCCAAATCTTCTTTAACTCAAAGCACTGGGGGAAAATGAACAAGAGCCATTCTTGTGGTGGGCTTGTTGTGTGCTGGTGCCCAGTGGACTGGGAACTGCATTTAACACCCTTGTAAATTCTGTTTTCTGTGCTGTACGAGACATCAAGCCTCTAGTATTATTGACCGCTGTCTAAATATTGGACTTGGTCTTTGCTGACAGGTGAAGGTATAAGTGTTTCTGCTTTCTGATGTCAATTTTCTCTGTTCTAAATTTTAGGAGAGCTCATACCTTAACAGTCTTGTTCATCCTCACGTGTGCGCTGGGCTACGTAACCTTACTTGAGGAAACACCGCAAGATACAGCCTACAATACAAAGAGGTAAATATTTGAGAAAGAGGTTCTACAGGGTGTTTATTAGGAAAGGGTAGCTCTATGCACAAACCACCACATGGGCTTTTACCTTGTAGATAAACTACCTCAAATGACCTTTGTATTAACTTGTTTAAATGCCCGAACCCTTGGAAAGTGACAAAAGCAAGCATAAGTCTATAAGCTCCTTTGATGCTGGTCCTTGAATTTAATTTCTAATCAGTTTAGTGTCACTCACTGTCAGACCTGGTGGCTGCCTTGCGTGTGTGATTTAAAACAAAATATGAAATTTCTAAAGCCTCAGAGTGCTGGCGGTGTTTCTTTGGCAATGATTCTGCCTCTTAAAATAACTTAACCTTCTAAACTATGTGAGCTGTGACTAAATTTTTCTAATTGAAGTGCTTTTTAAAAAATTATGTTCAAGATTTCTATATGGATCATTATCTGTTCTTGAAAATTAACATGAGAGCTGTAGTCCAAAGGGAAACTCTTGGAAAATAAGAATGAGAAGCCTTAGATATGTGGTCCATTTCTATCATAATTTAGGCTGTTTAATTGTAGCTGAATTTCTTATCTTTTTAAAGAAATAAAGTGAGGAACAGAAAGGGGGAAGAAAAGTGGTCTTCTAAAAATCTAAGTCTATTTTAAAAATCCAGGGGGTGCTTACAGACTGCAAAGCATCCTTGCTGTAAGCATGAAAATAATTCTGGTTTCTTAAATATAACACTGTGTTTCCCCCTTGCTATTACAGGGTTTCTTCTTTTTTTTTTTTTTTTTTAATATTTTTGAAAGTGACTCAGGATGTAGTATTCATTGTCATGGAGGTGCAGGAATTAGGGCATTTCCTGAGATAGTCGTGGTTGTTTCTCCATCAGTTGCACAATAGGTGCAGCTCATGTAATTCAGGCTCATGCGTGTGCCAAGCTGAGCGGTTGTATTTTGATGCGTGGGGGTGCAATGGGACAAGTTGGAACACAGTGCCCTGGCTGGAGCTGGGGGGATTTCTGCAAGGCTTTGCTGTGAACAAATGCTGTTTTATTCCCAGTTCTAATGAGGGAGTCTAGGGAAGGGATGGAGGCGCGACATTCTTTGGAATGACTGTTCAGAATAAAGAAGGGGAAGAGCTGAAACAGAAGTGATGACACATCTTAGGGAGTAATACAGATCTAAGGTGACTCAGTGGAATATCTTATTATTGAGATTAGAGCCTTTACTGCTTTAATAAAAACAAAGCCAGAGAAGATTAATCAGCAGATTAACCTTTCTTTCATGAAATAGAAGTTGCTTTCTGCATATTCAGTGCAGGGAATAATGTGCCCAGTTGTTAAAATCCATTTAACAGCATCGTACCAGGCAATGAGTAGCAGATGTTCTTTGATCACTTCTGCGTCTCTGATTGTGGAATACTGCCTGCAATATCTAGATGCAAAAATACTTGAAAAGCGGCATCCTGAGAATTGTGTAGTCTTCTCAATACTGGTTTCTGTTATTGGTTTTGAAGGGTACATCTGTGTTCCCACTCACGCTGCCCCAGTCATTAAAGCTACGTACTGAATTCCGAGAGAGTAGTTAACTTGGCCAAATCGTTACTTTTTCCAAGCTAAAGATTAGTGCAGACATAACGCTCCAGTCCTGTGGGCTTTCCCTAAGCTTCACCTCTGTTGCCTTGGCCCCAATTTACAGTGTGGCTGGAAGTGTCTGTGGTGGTCAGCACACTCCTTGTGCTGAGTCAATTTTCAGTGCACTCCTATCTCAATGAAATCTCTTTTTGAAGCTCTTCGAGGTAAGTGCTGTGCCAAGATTAGCACCATGAAGCATGAAGGATTCCAGCTCAATTCACGTCCCAGCCATTGTTCTTACCTCCTTTAGCATCTTTGTGCCTCCTGCCCCCTTACCTCTCCTTGTGCCTGACTGGTTTTCTGTGGCTCTTTAAGTGTGTGTTTGAACAAAAGAGGCATTTCAGAGCAGGAGTAAGATGGTCACAACATGCGTAAGTATATCCATATCCCCAACTTTCACAGATTTGTTTTGTTTTGCTTTGCTTCCATAAATTAAAATACCTTATCCTACCCGAAGACCTTTTTCAGTCTTCTTGTTAGAGCTGTTGTGTGTTTTGATCTAAAATTTTGGCCTGCGTGAGGCTGTCGCTGTACGCAGATATTTCATGGGAACACTCGCCTGCTTAATGAACAGAAGGAGTTTTAGTACCAAGGAGCAGTGTCTCTAGCTGTCACGCTTTCTTACTTCCAAGTGCTGCACAATGACAGTGGAGCAGTGTTTTGGTCCTTAGGTGCAAATCTGAACACGCTCTTGCAAACGCTTGAACCTCCTTTGTTTTCCGGCTCTTGCTGACAGGTGCCAGAGTGCCTACGAACTGCATTAGGTGCTTAGGGCAGAAAATTAAATTGAAGCAGAGTACACAAACTGCTGTGCTAGCTGCTCTGGCTGTGTGTGCTTCCTGGATTAGCTGAAGCTATAGGAAGGGATCTGAGGCTCCCATCGTCTCCTCTGTAAAAGTGCTTCACCCAGTCCCTTGGCAGAGCAGCTGAGGGGAGGGTGAGTGGCTGGATTAATGGACAGAAAGGATGGGCAAAAAACAAATTAGAGCACGAACCGATGAGATGATGAGGCAGGGTACCTGTACTGATGATTTGTATTTGCATCTATTTATATGCAGACATTTGAGCGCAGTTTCCCTTCCTGCAACACGTTAGGGCAATTAAAGGAAGAATTCATTTAAATTTTTTTAGATAAGATTTATATAAATGCTTTATATGCAAATCTAGTCAAAGTTCATTAGGATCATCCACACAGATGTTGATGTGATGACATGATACATGTGATCAAATCACCTCTGTTGTAAAGATAATTGAAAATTTACTTTTGTTAGCCAAAGAGATGCTGCACTGTAAAGCCTGTCTGCTCAGTGAGACTTTTTATTCATGCTGTTCCTACAGCATTCAAAGCAGCCCTGAAATAGCCCATCTCTGGCAGGACTGAGCTCCAGCTCTGAGGGTAGCTACATAAATATTCAGTGACCTCCTTTGCATACAATGGCTGTGGAAAAAATCCATATCTTCCAAATACTTTGAATGCTGAGCAGGGGTTCTTGGGAAAAAAGTTAATATTTTTTCCATATGAAAAACATGTTCAGGCTTAAAAAAATCTTGTATGCATCAGGGTTGTACGTTGAATTTCAAGCCATGAAACAGTCTCTGTTCTAAGATGCATTTTTACCCTAGTTTTTGGCAATAACTGAGCACTGCTCAGCTGTGATGACAAACCCGGGTGTACGTGGATTTGAAGTTGATGATCTCCAACTCCTGTCGCTGAACACCCCCAGGGAAAACGAGGGAACAAGGAGGCTGGAGCTTCTGTGGGTTCTTGGGCGTGTGGTGCTGTGGAGGGGACTGTGCCAGTCATGCCACCACAGATACAGCCAGGGAGGGCCCGGCAGTGGGAGCTGTCTTGTGAAAACTCGGGAACAGAGGACTGTACCCAGATACTCGTAGAGAAGCTTCATTGTCTTGCCTCTGAATCGACTTAAAATAACACAGACAAAAGCTTGTTTGTACTAACAAAACTGTTGCCATGTTTTTTCCCTTTCTGATTTGGTTAAGTGCTAAAATTACTTTTGTAGGCAGGCTTTGCTATTTAGTGTCTTCCTGATCTGCTGCTCAAGAAAATACATTAGCTCAAGAAAATACCTTAGCTGAGCTGCCTGCAGGGGTGGTTTGGGGAACCCTCCCTCAAATCCTGTCAAAGTTCTTGCCTCAAGGCACGGCAAGCCTGCAGGCCAAGCTGCTGGTGGGGCTTTGAAAACTTCGAAGGAGGCACTGTGATGATAAGGGGAGAAATTTAGTTACTGCAGGAAAAAAACCAAAAGGTAATGGAGCTGGCATGGTTATTATGTAAATTTATGAATTTCTTCAAAATTTCCCATGGTGAGCTTGAAGTGAAATAATACAGCTAAAACTCCAGCTTATTTTCAGCACAGCTGCTGCATCTGCTGTTTGGCTGAGAGCAGATTTTAGAAAAAGGAACATCACTGTAAATTCCTGCGGTGATTTAGATTCAGGTCATCTCCAGCTTCAGGAAAATTACCCCCACAAGGCCTAAAAGAGTGATTGTGGACATCTTGGTCCAGGGCTGAGCATAGTGGTGGTGAGCAGAGAGATGTGCATTGTTCCATGGTACAGGACACAGCTGTTCTGTGGAAACGTAAGTTTGTAGTCTTGGTATTTCCAAATACGGACTAGTGACTCAAAATGCGGAATATTCTCATTATTTGAGATCAGCTGAAAACTTTTAGCATCTTCATCTTTGAAAAGGATGATGGAACTGTTTATTTGCTGTTTCATTCAATAGCTAGTTCTGCTGTGCTTCCTAACGCCATAAAGTAAGAGAAACAACTGAGTTACATCTGTTAAGTAAACTCCATTTTTACTTTCAGGAAGCACAAACTTTTTATAGTCAGGGGTGAACGTTGCAAAATAGTTTTCATGAATCCTTTGGGTTTTGATTTTGAAAGAAATTTTGAAATGTTTGAAGTATGAATACCGTTGCTTTTGGTATCTTAACATTTTCTCAATAAAAGCAAAATGATGGGGTGTTTTCTCTGGCTCCTGCAGAGCCATTCTGTTTCTGGTCAAGGCTTGCATCACTGACTGCAGACATGGCTTACGCTTGCCCTGCAGTGCAATGAGGGATTTCCCAATTCTCTATCTCTTCAGCCAGCTCTTTAAGCAGGTAATATGAGAAAGCCTGAGGAATCTATTGGGAGCTCAGATGTAGGAAAAAGAAGATTTTTGGATCGCTTTATAGCGTTTCATCCATTAAGACTAAAGGAATATGCCCAAGTAGAGACCATGGGGCTTGTCTTCATGGAAAACAAGAGGTGACTCCGGGAAAAGAAATGCTGTTTTATGCACGTGACATGTTTAAAATTTCAGCTATTTAAAATTCTCCTGAGATTTTAAGTTGATGTTAGGTACTTTGAAATTAAATGCCAGACCTTACCCACCTACCTCACATCTCAGTCTCTCGGGGTCTGTTCTTTGTGCAGAAGGGTTAGTGTTCCTGACGGTGAGGGTCAGGCATTCGGACACGAGTATTTGCATTTTCTCATTTTTTCTTTTACTTGCTAAACAGAACTTTACTGAAAAACACACTGCACGTAATTAGTGAGTTTCCAGTCAATGTTGTTTGCTTGCTTTGCTCCTCCTGGAGCCTTCGCCTGCCCTTCCACGCTGGCTTCAGCTGACGCTTGGCCTTGCCGGGGGCTGCTCTGTTCCTCCCTGGCAGAGCAGGGCAGAGCTGGTTTTTCCTGGGTTGATTTTCAGCTGGGTCAGGCCTTGCCCCATCTCGTCCTGCGAGGCACATGAGTGCTGTCCTCGAGCAGGCGGCTCTGGCAGTCCTGACTCAGGGCTTCCCTTGCTGCGGGGGAGAGAAGACTCTGCAGGTCTGGGCTTAGGGGGTTGCCATGGCCTTGTGGGTCTTCGGTATACTTGGGCCCATGGGCTGATAATTATTTTTCTTTAATGCCTCTGTTATGTTCTGTTAGGGTCTATATTACAGCTCCGGCTTTTGAAATAGCACCAGTGCTGCTTTGGTCTTACAAGCTCCTCCTTGTCTTTAGTTGACTAAGGAAATTTTTTGGACTGGTGACAGGTTCAACAGTTCATCTTAAAATTTCATTGAAATTTTACAGGAGCAATGAAAAGCCCTCTAACTTGAGAGCTTTCTTACTGCTAAATTTTAAGCATCTTTCTGACAAAGTGGGCATAAAAGCTTCTCAAAGACATAGCGAAACATTTGACTTACTGTGCCCCTTGTGGCTGTCTGCAGGCTGAGGCTCATTGCGTGCATCAAGGAGCTGCTGATTTGTTCTGGTTTTGCTGGTTGAGTTCTGGGCCAGATGAGGCTCCTCTCCTGCCTGGCCAGACACCAGTCAGGGGCAGAAAATGGAGGGAATGGAAGCATGCGGTTTGTGGGGAGGGGGGGAGAAGGACAGATGCGTAAACTCTGGGGTTTGAGGCAGTCTGTCATGAAACCACACTTAAAAGAATAGGGGTTTATACCTGCTTCCCGGACCTATCATCTCCAAGAGGCATCTGTTTGATTGACATGTGCAGGAGTTAAGAAACAAAGACCAGACATTTTTTACATCAAAAAATATAATTTACAATTTCATGAGGAAGGTGAAGCAATATAAACAGTTTGTCTGTTTTTCGCTTTCAGAGGTATTGTTGCCAGTATATTGGTTTTCTTATGTTTTGGAGTTACACAAGCTAAAGATGGACCATTTTCAAGACCTCATCCAGGTAATCTATGTTGCTTAAGTCACTTGCATATTTCTGATAAATTGCATGGCTTATGGTGAACATAAATATTTGTGTTATTGTAGAGCAGGTAAGTCATAATTTAAATACTAATACAGGTTCATTAACATTGCACACTTATCACATAGTCTCCCAGTTCCACCCAGCCTCCAGACAGCATAGCCATCCTTCTGTGCTTTCAATCTGTGTGTAGCATAGGATTTTTATTTTTTTTTTGTTGGATCTCCCTGTTTTGGCTTCCTGTCCTTAGTAAAAGGCTTTGTGTGAGCTGCCACATTCTTGAAACCTTCACTTCCCTTGTTTATCCCTGCTCTTTCTTCCCCCTCCTCCTTTCTGCAATGGGCTGCCCTTCTGGCCGTGTGTCCGGGTGCTGGAGCTCTGTGTCCATCATCCACAATAGCTGGTTGATTAGAAGCCCTTGATTATGATTTTAAGGATTTCTAGTAAGACTGTAAGTCTTGAAAGCATTTGAAAGCACAGCACATGTAGTGTTATGTCGGCTGAAGTATGAAAATATTTTAATATCTTTGGGGTTTTAATCTATTTTTAGATGCGAATCATTGAGAAAGAATTAAGGGAATTTATATAGGCTTACATAATATTCCTGAAAGCATTAGGCTCTCCTGCAGTCAGATAAAGCTATAAGTACTTCTTATGCCAGAAATGTAACTTTCCATTCTATATGAGAAACAGTAGACAAGTTAAAAACCTTGATCAAAGCAGACGTTGTTCCAGAGCAGTGCCCACAGCACACCTCTGCAAACTTACGGTTTTATTTAGAAGTTTGCATTTCTGAGGTCTTATTAAATGGCAGTTTTTAGTCTTTTCTGTTACAGTTAATTTGCGTTCCTCCTGTAAGATAAATTACTCCTTTTAAGGACACCAGTGATAGTTGGGTGCTTTTGGTTTGGGAACATCCAGTGGTTTTGTCTGGGTTGGAAGTAATTTTTATTCCCTAGATCAAAGTAGTACAGAGTGGATGGGGAAAGTCCAAAGGTCAGAGACCTCTGCAGTGAATTTCTAGTGTAGAGTGAGCCAAGGTCTACCACCTCTGTCTGCTCCTGTCTTGGAAACAGCAGTTACAGGACTGAAGCTGGGTGTCTTTCAGCAGAATCAAATCATCACGAACAAAGTGATCGAAGAAGCTCAGGTGTATTCAGTCACTTCATATACTGAGTGTTTTCATATGGTCTTGTGGCTCAATGCCACCTTTCCTCTCGCTTGCTTGATGGGATGATCTTCTGAAGGGTGGTTTTCGGGGCTGTAGCAGCTTGCCAGGACAGCAGATAGTCCCCCAGTCGCAGCAAGCCCTGTGGGTGCCCGTCCCTGGGAGAGCGGCGGCCCTTCCCCACAGCTCTCCGCGGGGAAGGCTCTGGCCGGCGTTGGAGCACGTGGCATTGCGGCTCGGGAGATCGGGCACTGGCCCTTCCACTCCAGAGGGGTGAAGCAGGGGGTTCTCACCAGACAGCCGAGTCGCTGACAGCCTCACGCGGCTGTTCCGGGAGGAAGATCTCATCCCAAAGGAACTGGCAGCACAGGCTGCTGCTGCGCGCTGCTGCCATTTATAGGGCGGAAGGGAGGCTCTGGGTCAGGCAGGGCACTGCGGTCACCCGTGGCCACAGCAGATCTGTTACATGAACTCTTCAAGCTGTGCCTTAAAAGCAGTGAGGTTCCGTGCCTTGCTTCTGTCAGGTCATTTCTGAAGCCTTGTTATTCGGTATGTGTGTACCTACTTATGACCAGCTCATAGATGTGGGTTGGGTTTTTGTCTGTTTTTTGTGCCTGATGTTGTTCTGTTTAACTCTTCTTACTCAGCGTTTATCCACCTGATTGCTTTATGCACAACTCACCTATGTCAACTCGCTGCTGATTTTGCTAAAGCAAACAAATTTTGCTAAAGCAACAAGTGCTGCTTTTAGTCCTCCCTCTTAATACGTCTGCTTTCCTGAGGAATTTTTTTCTTTACTCATTTAGTCTTTCAGGTGGCGTAGGTCAAACTCCAACCTCTGTTGGCGAATAGGGGTGAATGACTGGTGGTGCACGCAGCAGGCAGCGCTCGCTTAAGTGTTCATCTGCTGTTCTCAGGTCTCCCTACAATGGGAACAGTTTAGTGTTTGAGCGTAGTCATCACAAAGCTATCGGGTATGTAAATGATCAGTTGGAGCCTACTTAATTGGAAAGATAGTCCTAATTTGAGGGAGGATCATGGTGACAAGTGCATTTAAGGAAAATAAATATTAGAGGTATGCCAAAAATAACTTTATAGCTAATGCTGAGGCCGGTCCAGGAAGAGAGAGAACACAATGTTTGTACAGCTTTGAAAACATCTTGTCTCTGGTGTACATGTACAGATATAAAGTAGTCTTCAAAACCTCTTGGGTATTTGTCAGCCAGGGAGAAAGCATACTAAATTATAACCAGATCTTATTTTTTCATTATGAAGTATTGCTGAGCCTCTTCAGCAGCTGCAAATTATCTGTTGCCAGACCCTTATGCCTATAGGAAAGGCAAAGCTCAGATAAAGATTTAGGTTTTTCTGCTTTCTGAACTGTACGCACATCAGTTTCAGAACTAGTCTGCCATGTTTATGTCTGAGTAGTGTAAAATCTGTCACACCAGGCTTTATAGGTCAGAAGAAACTCAGCTTTTTTAAGGCTTCTAGTCAGAAGGTGGTGTTTGAATCAGAGACAATGCTCAGTTCTCATGGGAGAAGTGTGTTAATGAAAGGTTAGTTCTTCTGGCTTGAACATAATATTTACTCTTGAAGGTATACAGTCATTACAGGAAAGGATAGAAAACACATTATCAAGCAAACCAATTTTTTTAATCCCTTTAAAAAAAGTCACCACTGTGTTTCTGTCCTGCAGACTTGCATTCAAAAGGCTGAAGTATTTTTTGGCAGCACAGTGTTGCCAGTTTAGGGAGAAGTTCCTCTCTTCCAGATAATCCTCTGACCAGGGGAGGGTGTTTTGCTTACTTGTTTTTCCTAAGCTGCATTTCAGAACGACAAGAGGGTGCACACACGCTCTCAGTTGCTGCTTCCAAGTGACATTTGCTGGGGAATTTGAAAGTTAAATCAAATCTGAAGGAAGGAGACAAGTCTCAAGTTATGGTTTCTACAACTTTTGTGTAAGGATGGCTGCAGGAGAGCCACTGGTTGTTGCCTCACCAAGGAGAAAGCAGGATGAACTCTGCTTTTCCTTCTCTCAAGGAGACCAGGGGACAAAACCACCTCGTACCGTATGTTTAGAGGTTTGCTTGAGTTTAATGACTGACCCCTAAGAAGACACTTCATGGTATTGCATAATTAAGGAATGACAATTATGTTCATAGACTTTAAGTAAAAATCTTAAAAGTGAAATCTTTTCCAGTGAAAGCTGTTACAGAGCTCTGAAGGTCCTGTTATCCAGGCCCCACTTGCCCTTTTTTTTTTTTTTTTTTCTGGAAGTGTAAAGTAGGACATTTGAATAAAATTCATTTAGCAGTTTTGCTGACAAAAGGTCACACCTTCTCACATTTCAGTCTGTTTTAATGATGGTATCAGAAGCAGGCTGTTAGAGACCTCTTTTAAAAAGTATATTTTTAATTTTTTTTTTCTACTTGAGGCTGAATTAGGCAAAGACAGCATTTATTTCTGTTTCAGGGGGCAAACAAACCTGCAGGAAGCTCTGCAGCACCATGGCTACTTGATTTCAGGTTCTGAGCTGATAAGCAAGTATGTTTGCAAGCCTGGAGTTTCTTTATTTCTGGCATTATTTATGTCATGGTCCTGCTTTTAAGCATGAACATACATAAGTTGCCTTGGATTTGAGAGAGAAATGCCCAGGTCAGGCCTGAAGGTTCATGTCAAACCACGTTCATGCAGGTGAATCACCTGCTGTCTCCACTCACCCATATGAGTGACTGCCTTGATTCCTCTTTGCCCTAGTCCAATTCTAAGTATCACCTAGATGGTACTGTGGCAGGAGAGCTCTGTTTTATAAGGATAAACAGGAAACACCTGAAGGAAAGTCTATTAACATCATTCCGGAGTGATTGGTGTGTGACGATACTGAGAGATTTAAATATCCACTTGAGTCAAGTTTTGCTGAATTACCTTGTGCAGTTTTTTGGATGTGGTTAGGAAGAAATGCTGGAGCACTCTGCACATACTGGCTCTGCATTAACCAGCTTCCTCTTGTAGAGGAGTTAACAGAAATGCTGGCTGAGATTTCAGAGCCCAGAAATCCCTTTACGGAACGAAGGCCAAACCAGTGTCTGGGTGGAGTAGGAAGAATTAAAGGTGTGAGTGCATCCTGTGAAGCACAGAGCTTGTACCCAGGGCACTCAGAGAGCCCATTACCTGGGGACTGAGCCCTTCGGAACAACCGAGGTGGCAGTGGTGGAGCTGGAAGCGTACAAGTCCTGTAATTTGTGTACCCTTGAGATTCGGGTGTTGCTTCAGTGTGAGAAGATCTGTAATCATACACCTTGGGAGCATGAAGAGCAACTGCAGACTCTGCAGCAGCTGAGTTTTGCATGATATTTCTCTTATTATGAAGAGTTTTGAATGATCTCATAGGTCTTGCATCTAGTACCTGCTAAACCTTTTGTACATTTTTTTTTTAATTTAATTCCCAGTGAAAGTGCAAATATCTTTTGCACTTTGAAATGCTATCTGCCCCTTGAGGAAACAACCTCCTCTTCAGGGAAGAAGGTGTGCTTACAAAAGTGAAAGCAGTGGTTCCTCCTGCTGGTCCTGGTCTTGTCTGTTTTAGCAGCACATAGGCAGAAGTTGGCAAAGTGCCTTTCCCACAAGGAAAACCAATGCTGGGCAGGTCAGGTTACATGAGATGGTGAAGAGAAAAACTGGATTAGTTTGGGAAGGGTATAGTTCTCTTCCATGGACTGCTGGAGAGTGTTGCAGGTGGCATGTGTCACTGCTTCGAATTCTTCAATGGGTTCACTGGGTTGAAGAGCTCTTGTGGGTCCTGTTCTGTTCCCACCAACCCAGGTCAGTCCCTGAGCAATTTGGGCAGATTTATGTGGCAGCCTGTCTGGCAGTTAAAGAGCCTCTCTGGTTGTGCTTTTCAGGAAGGATGGTGAACACTTTACCTGAATGCTGGGCTTTATAATTTCTTGGTGGAGTATCTCTTCTTGAACTGTGTAGTTATATTACTACATGAATAGTAAATTAATAATGGGCTGCTCTTTTGCTGGGACGCTTGCTAACATCCCGTTTGTCCATTTCTGTAGCTTACTGGAGGTTTTGGCTGTGTGTCAGCGTGGTGTATGAGCTCTTCCTCATCTTTATCCTCTTTCAGGTAAGTAACTTAGACCTCTAGTTACTAAATACCAGTTTAATGTGGATACAAAATCCTTTGTCGGTTTCTTTAGGATTCTTGCTGTCTACAGGAGATGGTCTTCATTTTTGCGAAATCAAATCATTGTGCTATTTAATGAAATTTCTAGGTTGAGGAAAAATTACTATAAGAATCCTTCATCTTGTCATCTAACCTCCAGTTAGTCTTGGCCTAGGTTAGACACCACAGTGAAGAGTTCTTAAATGAGTTGAATGGAAGTCAGAGTTCTTGTTTAGATCAAACAATCAAGAGTTGGTGCTTCTGATGTTTAGTCTCTGCTCTGCAGGACTTGATGTCACTTGCTGGAGTTGCATACCAGCTGTTAGTTTCTTAGAACCTACAGATTGTGGGGTGAAATCATCTTGTTTAATCTTTTGAAATACTTTTTACCTTGGATGATAAGTGCTTTGAATGATTTTTTGCAATAAACTGAAACTTCATACACAACTTAGTGTAGTGGCAGCAAGCTGAGGATTGGTTTTTTTCTAGAAAGACATGCTGTCGGTATTTCCAAATAAAGCACTCTATTTTTTTACCATATTTTTATCCTTTAGTAAATAGAATTTTCCCCTGCCTCTTACAATTCAGCTGCTGCATGTCTGAGAAGTCATAGAAGTAAAACATTTTGAGATCAGCAAGAGCAGTAAACCTGGCACTATGAACAGAGCCATTGTGTTCCTGTATATGAACTTACACCACTGCAAATCAAGGTTGAGTGCCAAGAAGGAGCTCGACTCATCCTTTCCTCAGTTACTCAATCCACTACCTGCAGTCATCTCCTCAGGCATCAGCATGATTTGAAACCAGGAGCAAATGTAGAGATACTGAAGCATGAGAGGTAACTGTCCTGTGCTGTCAGACAGCCGGCTACATTTCAGATTTAGATTCCAATTAGAGTCCCTAGTTGTTCATTTTCAGACAGGTCCTTCTTGCTGACATCTTGGTAACCTTTGGTGCTCTGTATTTTAAAAGGGTTGTGCAAGTACCATCAGATACTCATCAGGTAGCTTTAAAAAATCACTTTAGATGAGAGAAGGATGAGGAACTTTTTTTTTTTTTTTTAAATGTTTTGTCTCTAGAGGTCAAGTGAGCTTGAAGTGGGGCTAGAATTCAGAGGTGTCAGGATCTGTCTTTCATTGTAGTAGGGCATTTGCTTTGCAAACAAGTTTTTAATACTGATCAAACTGTTTCTAGCTAATCAGAGATTTCCTTTGGCTTTAGCAATTCTTGTTCTGCTTGGCTTTCCTGGAGCCTCCCCAAAAGTCAGCGTCAAGCTCTCTTATTTTTTTTTTTTTTTTTTTTTTTTTTTTTCTTTCCTTTTCTTGCCCGGCTCATTGTTTTAGCTGGAATGTGTCTGCAGTAGATCAGTAAACAACAATGTGAGTTTGTCCTGTTGACCTAACTTGGGGGTTCAGTGTAAACCCTTACACAGGGCCCTAATGTCTCATTAGGGTTTCTTTCAGGCTGCCTGTCCTGCTTGGAGGGAGTGGAGTTCTGACCCTTTCACAGGCATGAACAGGTCTGTCTTGCCTTTTTTGTCGTTATTCCTCACCACTGAGGAATACTTACTCAGTTCCAATTTATTTTCATGTTCTTACTATTTTATGTCACCCTGGTTTTCTCGAGGCATCTTTGTAAATGATACTCCCGACGAGCTGCAGTCAGACAATAATATGTTTCATTTTTATTTGATAGTACTCTTGTAGTTCTGAATTCTGATAGAAAAGCATGGAATTGCTTTGCTTTCCTCTGGCAGTATGTTGTGTTACCAGCCATTTAGTTGTTAAGGACACTCACTAGCTGTTGCTCAGCTCTTTACTAAAAATACATTATTACTTTGCACAGGTTTAAATAAGGTTAAAAATATGCTGAGTCTATAAGTGACTTAACTTCCTTAAAAGCAAATACAAGCTTACTCATAGTTGCAACTTGTCTTAAAGTGACTTTAGTGGTATTATTCTATAATTCAATTATTATTGCTATTAACTAATTTTGGCCTTGCCCTGCTTTTACTGTCTGCAAGTCTGTTGCAGATATTACATTGCTTCTGTTGTAAGACATTGACCACAACAGTGAGCAATTCCATGGGGAAACACTTATTCAGCAAATGTCTGTCTGAGTTTCTAGTAAATTAATTCAAGTTTTTATCACTGTTGATAACTAATGTTTTGATAACTTCTTCCTTGCTGTCTGCTTCCCACCTGTGCTGCTGGTGGGACTTTATTTGAAATATCGTTTATTCAACGAGCTGCACTATATTTTTTCTGCCATGAAACACGGCACGGTTCTCAACTTTCTGCAGCTGAGGTGGGCTGAGCACACACACGTGACTAATCCTGCTCACGGTGCACCGACCTGGTGTGCTCAACCTGCTGATGCCTGCATGTGCGGTATTTCCATCGAGCCTCGTGTTTAAAGGGCTGCTGGGCCTCTTCTCTTCTAGGAAGCCAGAAGGCCACTAACACAGGAGCTGTTAAACGAGCCTTTCTTGAGTTGCTGGCGGCTGCTTCTTCACCCTTGCCAAGCTCGAGGAGGGGAGAGGAAGGGCCAGAGGGTCAGCGGGAAGGCTGGATTGTGAGCTTTGGGAGGGTGGGGGCATAGAGGAGTCGCTTGGGAAACACTTAAGGATCTCTGATTTTTCATCTGTAAGAAATCTTAATTTCCTTCAGTAGTCACTTTTCCTTAACATTTAGCATTAGAGGCCCAGAAATTCAGGTATATCTGCTGTGTGATGCTCTGAGGTCTGGATATATTTCAAGAGCTGTTCTGTGACCAATTTGAAGATACAACGTTGATCTCAATTATCTTTGTACTTTTGTGTGCATTAATGACACTAAGAGGGAAACATGGGGTTTGTGTTCCTTTTGCAGACTGTACAAGATGGCAGACAGTTCATGAAGTACATTGATCCACATTTAGGGGTTCCTTTGCCAGAAAGAGACTACGGTGGCAACTGCCTTATTTATGATCCCGGCAATGAAACCGATCCATTTCACAATATCTGGGTAAGAAAGAAATAAAGTTACTTGCTAATGAGTCTGTTTTTTGGTAAAAGGTTGCTTAATTGAACTCTTCAGAGTGCAGTCATGAGTCTTTCTGAGTGTTGAAGGAGAGAACAGGGTATTGCTGACTCTTTCAGCTTCCTTAGGTCTCTTCCCTTGACCTATCCTGTGGATCAGATGGAGATGTGTCTCTTTGTACCTAATTACATTGCCCAGGAGAGGGAGTTTAACAACCCTCCTTTCTCTGATTATTGATGTAAACTTTTCCCCCTAGGAGTTTGGGTTTATTTGTGTGCTTAAAGAATCTTCTGCTTAGTGTCACCCTGAGGCATGGAGTTCAAAAGCTGTATGTTGCCAAGCAACCCATAAGTTGCACTTTTCCGAATACCAGAAACCATCAGGTTGTTATTTCTCACTGGCAAACCAAAGACTTGAGATTCAAGGGCAAAGGAATTCTGATTATTTACAACTCCCTGATTGCATGGAGCTGGTAGTGCTTGTGTAGTGAGGGGCACTGAATCCTCTGGGTCTACTGTGTAAGTCTTCAGTGCCTCAGGAACTGGAATAACAGAGCAGTTGTCCTTTTCTAGACCTGCACTCAAACTAGGAGGCAGGCAGGCTGTGCCAGGGGCTTACAGTGGCAGGACTGGTAAGAACCCCTGCTAGATCCATGACAGGAACCTGATAAAGAAATGCATGTTATTGCTGTGGCTAGAACGTGTTCTGCTTCTGTCCCCTTGGAAGGCAAGGAACGTGACATTCAGCATTACAGAGGCAGTTTCCACTTTATCAGTATGATCCTAATTCCAGTTTCTGCCCCTTGAAATTGTTGACTTTTCTTTGAAAATAGATTGTTCACTGTACCTGAGAACAAAGAAACTCAGAAAATGCATATAATATTTGAAACAACTGAAGCTTATTGCTGCATTTTTCATCAAATCACAGAATGGTTTGGGTGGGAAGGGACCCTAAAGCCCATCCAAAGCCCCGTCTAACCTGGCCTTGAACCCTTCCAGGGAGGGGGCAGCCACAGCTTCTCTGGGCAGCCTGTGCCAGGGCCTCACCCTCCTCACAGGGAAGAATTTCTTCCTTAGATCTCATCTAAATCTCCCCTCTGTCAATTTAAAACCGTTACCCCTCATCCTATCCCTGCACCCCCTGATGACGAGTCCCTCCCCCCTTTCCTGTAGCCCCTTTCAGCCCTGGGAGGCTGTTCTAAGGTCTCCCTGGGGCCTTTTCTTCTCCAGCTGAACCCCCACCTCTCAGCCTGTCCTCACAGGGAAGGGGCTTCAGCCTCCCCGAGAATCTTTGTAGCCTCCTCTGGCCCCGCTCGAGCAGGTCCGTGTCCTTCTGCTGTTGGTGCCCCCAGAGCTGGACCCAGCACTGCAGGGGGGTCTCCCAAGAGCGGAGCAGAGGGGGAGAATCCCCCCCCTCGCCCTGCTGCCCACACTGCTCTGGGTGCAGCCCAGCACAGGGGTGGCTTTCTGGGCTGCCAGCACACATTGCTGGCTCACAGGCAGCTTTCCACCCACCAACACCCCAAGTCCTTCTCCTCAGGGCTGCTCTCCAGCCACTCCTCGCCCACTCTGGATTTGTGTCGGGGATTGTCCCAACCCATGGGCAGGACCTTGCACTTGGCCTTGTTGAACTCCATGCGGTTTGCACAGGAACATTTTTCTTGGAAAAAAAGTAAGCCTTAAGAATGGGTTATTGTTTGCAGTGCAAAGTGACCTACTCTCTCTTCTTGCTTTATAGGACAAGCTGGATGGATTTGTTCCTGCTCATTTTTTTGGCTGGTACCTGAAAGTAAGAATGGCTCTTCTGTTACATTTCTGTTACAGACTATTCTACTTTTAAAGCCTGACTGCTTCTGTTTCAGTGATGCCAGTCTCTATTATCAATTATATTAGTCAGTCATCTGTGAACTAGACTGTTTGTAATACGTGAAAGGCTTGGAGTATTTTTATCCCTCACCATGTAGGTCACCTCATTTCTTTCCAAAGTAACATTACATTGACAAACTCCCACCTCCACCGTAATTCATTCTGAGGTCAGATCAATAAAATTAAAATCCTTTGCTCCTGTAGCAGGATAAATGCTTGACTGACCTTTGCATGTAAGCGTACAGGGAGGCTGCACTCAGAGGAGGCAGGACAAGTCTGCTGTTACCAGGCAGAGCTGCGTGATGGTCCCCCATGCCTGTCCAAAGGCAGGCTTTTCCCAGCAGCATCCAAATCAGGATTTTAAGTCATTAAATGGCTAGTGGTTTAATTCTTGGTTTTAGTTGGTACCAACCAACTATGGAAGGAATTCCAGTTGTGCTTGTCTCTGGCAGAATGCTTCTAACCCCTGTTTTGCTGGTTACTTTGGTTTAAATATTAGCTTTTTGTAACCTGAGCAAACTTACAAGCTAACTTTATTTTGCCCTGCAGATCTTGGGGTTTTTTTTTTACCTCCAAGACTACCATAAATAATAACCTGAAAAAGCCCAGCCTGTTTTAAAAATAAGCTGCAACTGGTGTTTTGCTTTTCCCTTTCAAAAGCACAGATGTATTGCTATGAGTGGTTTGGTTTGGGCTGTTTTTTTTTTTTTCCCCCATAACCTAAAGATGAGTGTGCTCAGCATGGGGAGACTTTGGCGTCAGATCCACTTGTCGGTGGCTTGCTCTATTAGTGTGCAGAATTGTAAATTTGGAGAAACTTGGATCTTCTTCATCCAAGAGAAATATATTAGAAATATAAATATCAAAATAGATTTTCAGTTACATTCTGGTTTTGTTTATACAAATAATGTCATCTTGAGGAAAGATGCCTAAATAGTGAGAGCCTGGTAACAAGATGTGAGGGGGTAGTAACCCATTCCTGAGGAGCTAGAATAGGGAAGAATGCTGTTATCTGTCTTGGTCTGAGAGAAGCCTCGTTTTTATCAGAGACTGTTCCTGCAGAAGTGCTTGTGATGATACGTCACCTTGACACCCTGCGGTTGGATTTAGGGAGCCCAGCGTACTCCAGGGTGTTTGTGCTGCTAATCTTCAAGGAAACTGCCTGCTATGTTTCTTAATTGTCAGATAACATATTTTTCTATAAAAAGCTTGGAAGTTGAGTGTGTTGTCTTCATAAACAGATGAGCAGGTTTGGGGTTTTTTTCTTTTTATTTTGGTCTGGTTTGAGTAACAGACTCTTAAGCTACATCTCAAAGCACGAGGATGGCAGTACTGAGAATGAATGTGCCTCACTCATCAGAAGTTACTGTGGGCCTCCCCCTTTGCTTTAGAGACACACATTGTCAGAATAACGTGTGGTAATTCATACCTTATATTTTTCCATCTTCTGGCTGAGGCGCTCAGCACCATGCTGCCAAGCTATGTTTGCTTCTGCAGCATCAGGACAAGCATGTTTGGGGTTGCCACCTTCCATCTGTGCACCCTGCTGAGGATACAGCAGACCAGATACACAGACTCTCTCTGCTCTTATCCACTTAAAAATATGAAATGAAGTGTTGCCACAAATCTCTTCCCTTGTTTTGACAGTAAGCTGTGATGATACATGTGTTCTAGGACAGCAGCTCAGCTGAATCCTTACACAGAATGTGGAAGATGCTGCTGCTCCTCATAGCTCACCCTGGCAAGCTGCTTCCTGGTAGAAAGTAGACCCAGATGTCCCAGCACAGTCAGTGGTGAGGTTTAGTGCAGGAGACTTTTTTAAAGTTTGCATTAAGCAGGCTCTGAAAAGTCTTTTTTGAGCAGCATTATAACAATGCTACCTGTGGTGGTTGAGCACCCAGTAATTCCATTTGTTTAACTCTCTTCTGAATCCCACCTTGCCTGCCTTTATTCTTTTGTGTAATAGTATTAATGTCATCATCTGGCTCTTCAGTGTCTGTCTTGTCTGTGGTGCTGCATACTTGGTAGGCTGAGGCCTGTGAGCATTTGGCTTTACTAGACTATCACATGATAAAAATAGGATTGTCATGAGTTTCCTGATCCTTCTCTGGGTACTGGAGACAAGATATTCCACTTGTAGAAATAACTGGTAAACAAAGCACACACCATATGTGTCCTCTGTGTTTACAGTCCGGAAAGGTTAGTCTCATATTCTCTAAGTGATCAGTTTTGAAATTAAGAACAAAAGTAATAATTTTTCCATACACAGTTGCAAAACTGTAAATCTGAGCAGTGTCTCTGCAGTATTTATGGAGTTCTCCTTTATTTAGATTTCTGAAGGGCATTAGTGTAGGTGCTGTCTGGTTCTGTTCAGTCTGGTGTGCAATTATTCATTTTTGTAATGGTTTTTAGTATGTTGTGCAACCGCTGTGGATCTTGAAAAGACTTTTTTTCTCCCTTTATACAGACATTGATGATTCGAGACTGGTGGATGTGTATGATTATCAGTGTAATGTTTGAGTTTCTGGAGTACAGTCTGGAACACCAGCTGCCAAACTTCAGTGAATGCTGGTGGGATCACGTATGTACTGCACAGATCATGATGAGTTTGTCTAAATGGAAGTACAGATTTTTAAAGGAAGGGGTAGGAAGTGGTGAGCACTACAGTATATCCTGTGCATGTTGCCCAAGATGTGTGTGACTGCTGCAGCTCGGGAGCATTGGTGCTTCTCCCTGTTGAGTTTACAATATATTTGTCACTGTTTGTAAAATTTTGTAGGCTTTCAGAAGTTAAATATTTGGTTCATTTCACACCAGAGAAAGAATCTGAAGCTTTCCATGAACATTTTCAAATATTTCTTTATGCTACAAACCATAAAATCTGAAATTAAGAGAAAGGAAAAAACTTTGTATATGAAGTTTCAGATGGTGATTTTTCTTGCCTGTTTAAAAAACCCCAACCAAACACCAAAAAAACAGACTCAGTTCAGTTTGTGTCCAGCTCTTCCTTCTGTGCAAACCTATTTTCACTATTTTCTGAAAAAGTAAATATTACTGTGTTTAGAATTTCTGGTATGGTTTATAAAAAGGTTTTAAAATCTGAATGTTTGGCCTTACTGAAAAGCTGTACGGTCTTTGCACATGATAGTCTGTGTAACCATTCTTGTCATTCTTGTATTTTAATACTGCTTGTGTATATCTTTTCAAGCCAGAAGGACTACTGTGATCATTTCTCTGTGGAAAAAACAAGCTCTGTATCTTAAAATTACACACTTTTTAAAAAAAGTTTTCCTATGAAATGTAAATTGGTTACCAGAGTGATCAAAATTATCTATGTTCAGGGCATACAGCTATGGTTCTTAGGTTATTTCGGCTTGGTTTTATTCTTACAGTATTTATTCTTTCCCAAGCTTGGAATGATTTGCTACACAGCTGTATTTATAAAAGTACATGCATTATGTATAAAGAGATCAAGCAAAAGCTATTCTGCCTTCAGAAAAACTTGTTATGAAATTAACACTCTGCTGCTTTGAATGCAGAGGACAACCAACTTTTTTTTCAGCTCAAGAGCTCCATCTCCAGAATTAACGCTTGGCAATAAGACAGAGCAGGGGGAGAAATCACTTAATTTCACATTCTGAGCCTGGAGATCAGTCATTTCTTTAGGAGGCAGTCTGAAGCTTAAAGAGTAGGCTCAGTTATTGGGCATAGTAAAATCCAGTCTGTAGGAACATGTTCAGATTTGTGTGTGTGTGTGTTTCTAAAGTTGTCACTGAACAGAGTGGAGTTGAGCTGGTAGTAAGTAGGAAGAGGTCTGTTGCGTAGCAGAATGAAAACAGCAGAAGAGAATTCGTAGCCATCATCTGCAGAATGCTTTTGCTTTATCTGAGTAGGCTTGGGCTGGGATTTCCTCCTGACACTTCAGGCAACCTCTTCTCTGGGGATGTTCAGTCCTTGTGACCAAGAGTGTGTCTGCGTGTGTGTGTGTGTGCCTGTAGTATCCTCCCTTTTACAAGCTGTAGTGGTGGTTCTCCAGCAGTGCTGTGTTTTTCTCCTTTCAGTGGATAATGGATGTGATCTTATGTAATGGATTGGGAATTTACTGTGGGATGAAGACGCTGTCTTGGCTTTCTTTGAAAACATACAAATGGCAAGGACTTTGGAACATTCCTACGTACAAGTAAGTTGGTGTAGAAAGTAACTCCACAGGCAGTAGCACAGTGCAAGGTTTGGGCCCATGTGGAAGATCATGGTTCTTGCAGGGTTGTTCTGTTTGGGTTCGTGTGAATTAAAGAATTTGTTTGTGTTTAGATGACTCAAGTATCTGGTAACTTATTACTGTGGGGAACCTTGTTTAGGAGAGTTTTATTTAACTTGCGAATGAAATTGTTGAACATATACCTGTCTGTCATGAGTTTATTTAATGAAATTGCTAAAGGAGGTGCAGGAATCCAGGTCAGGATCATACTCTTCCGTTCACGGTGAGGATCTGTTTGGTCCTTGTGCAAATAATGCGTTCCCTAGTAAGCACAACTCCATAGTAACTGGGACACTTAAAATTTAATAACCCCCTTGTAGTCTTGTACCAGGAATGCACTGTCCTTTCCTGTCATGTGCATTTGCTTAGCAAAGCAGAGCTGAGGGGCTGCTTGCTGCAGTGGTGTAGTATATTAAACTATAAAATGATGGTCCAAATAACAGGCTTCTCTAACACAGAATGTTAATCTCATGAAGTAATTTTTATGGAGTAAATGGAGGCATTTTGCATATGTAAATTGGTATCTCAAATGGAAATGTTAGTAGATGTCTCTTATGTGCTGTTTCCTAACATTGTGTTCTGCTATTTTTTTTTTTTTCCAGGGGAAAAATGAAGAGAATTGTCTTCCAGTTCACCCCATATAGCTGGGTGAAGTTTGAGTGGAAGCCAGCATCCAGCTTACGCAGATGGCTAGCAGTTTGTGGCATAATCTTTGTAGTAAGGAAACTTCACTGGTTTTTTTCTTTATCATTTGATTTAATGTTTTGTAACACTCAAGCAACTTACGGATAGTAACTTAGGCTGGAACTTTGAGCTGGTGATATTTCTTTAGTCGGGGATGGAAGAGATGACTTCCAAACCCTGCAGCAGAGGGGTCTGTTTCCATCTCTCTGGGACGGGTTACAGATTCGTTGCATAAGTATTTGTTCTCGCTTGCTGAACAATGTTGATTAGCAATGCAGGCAATATAAACTAGGAGTACGCATAATTCAGCAACTGCTGCTACCAAAACCATTGGCTTTGGCTGAAAGTGGCTTGTTCCTGTCCTGAGCAACTACGTGCCACATTATGGCTGGAGAAGGCTGCACCCAGAGCTGTCTGTGTGCAAGCTCTGAGCAGCGTGTCTCCTGAAGCACACTGGTTTGCTTCGGATTATATTTTTATGCAAACTTAAATAATTCAGTTACCCTAGATAGCATACGTGATGGTGTTAACAGTATCCAGGTTGACCAGTTCAGGTGACGAGGCTCCCCTACTTAGACAAAAGAGAAAGTTGGCCTCTCCGCCAGTGACAACAAACGGACAGTGTGCCTCCCTGATCCGGCCTTGGTCCAGCCAGCTGGGTGGCTGAACTGTTGTGGGCATCTTGCATTCACAGCACAAGTATTGCACATGTGACACTGATGTGGAGGGTAAATTTGACAGTTTAAGTGCTTTTTCCCCACTCCTGCCTCTTGTCAGCTGGGGGATTTGGCCTTTGTGTTAGGCTGTCACTTGGCTCTGTGTTCTGAGCAACTCAGGCTTCAATATGGCAACTGTGAAGTTTAACTAAAAAAACCTCGTGTCACTTCTAGTGATTCCAGAGACAACGGGCACTATCCAGTTTCTGTATGACCGCTGTGGTACAGGATATAACTCCGTGGTTTTTAAGTTGCTAGTTCAGCAAAGCTTTAGGTATCTTGAAATATGTGGAATAGGAAATCTGGTGGTTTATTGCGGGGTCTGCCCTGTGCAGTTCCCTGCTGGGTGGGACACAGCAGTCGGCTTGGCAAGCCACCCCACCCCACCCTTGATAAAATATCACTTCATGCCGATGCCCAGCTGCAGACCTGGGTGTGATCGGGAGCAAGGAGCTGCCTGTAAGCGGGCAGCAGCACACAGCAGCGCCGGCAGCGAGGGCCAGGCAGCTGGCAGACACAGGCTGTTAAATACAAGTTCATGTCCCCTTATTTCCACTACAGAAAACATTTGCCAAGTTCACACAGCACAGCAGAGGTGCTGAGGTTCCCAGAGCTTATGGGAGAAGTAAAGTAACTGTGCTTCCATCAACAAAACGCAGGTTCCTCTGTGTGTACTCACAACTTTACACCTTGAAGAATTCGGGTTTTGGGTGCTGGAGCAGATTTTGCAACTGAGAGATGCCACTGAATTTATACTAGTCTTTGGAACGATAACATTTCTTTCAGCAAAGCCCAGCTTCAGCTGATAGTTTCTAAGCAGCTTCAGGTATTGGTTCACTCCTTTGGATTAAACAGTGCTTAATGCCATTTGTTATCACTTATTTTGAAGTGAGAAACTTGTGTCTGCTCGCTCACTTAATCATGCTGCCAGGGCAGCTCACTTGGGAACGTCTTGCTATAAATGTATAACCAGTTCTCCTGAGCTGGCTTTGGCAGTGACGTTTGCACAACTGTAAAATAAATGAAACAAAAAAGATCAACCCAGGATGTGCTGCTCATGTCTCTTGTTATTCTGGGGTTCCCTCAGTCAGATTTTAAATGACAATGAAAGGACAAGTTGTTGCTTTTTGGATTTGTTATTGGTAGTTCTGCACGTGCTTCAAACTCCTGATAAACTTGTTCCAAATTAGAGGAAGTGCTTGTCCAGCTTTCTGTCATGGGTTTTTTTAATACCTCTTCCAACACACAGAAAACTTTTAAAAACTGTTCTTGGTCACTATTGCAACTGGTGACAGTGTGCTCAGTAATACGGAGTAGGGCTTTGTGGCGTTAGAGACATGATGGGGGGAGTCATGCAGGGAGAGAGAGAGATTCCAGGCTTCATTCAGTGAAGTCTTCTGCACGTAATTAAAATGTCCTTTTTCTCAGTTTTTATTGGCAGAGCTGAACACATTTTACTTGAAGTTTGTCCTTTGGATGCCACCAGAACACTACTTGGTCCTGTTACGACTTGTCTTTTTTGTCAATGTGGGAGGTGTGGCTATGAGGGAGATCTACGACTTCATGGACGACCCGTAAGCCAGTCCTCTTGTGTATATACCATGTCAAGCTTCACTTGCTTTATTTTGAATTTGCTCCAGCTTGTTGGCATCCATCTCAGGGCAATAGCTCAGCTTGTTGGGGACAAAAGACCTAATCCCAAAGCATCTGCTTTGTGTTCTTTTGTTTTGGAGGTGAAATTCTGACTACATCTGGTTAGAGAACAGCTGCTGATAAGGGCATTCTGTGTGCACTGTTTTTAACCTCAGTTTTTAATAAATGATCACTCTTTTGAGAATGGAACGTGTAAATTAGATGGAGTGCCACTGGCTCGTGGGCAGAGGAGTACTGAACTCCGCTTTCAGATTGATAGCCAGGAACAAGAGTCCTTGGATGCACCTTCTAAGGACAACAGGGCCCAAACTGAAAAAAAATGTGTTTCTTAAAGGCGCTTCTTTTCTTGAGCTGTCTTCCAGCTGGTCCCTGGTCCTCTGCAGCTCTCGTGGCCTCCTCTTGCAGATCAGAGCACCCTTCATAGCAAAGTGTATTGAAGGCGAGGTGCACCCATACACAACAGTGCATGTACTTTCAGACTGTTCCTACTTATGCATCATATTTGTCCTTGCTGCTTTTGTTTCTGCAGACCATGTAAGACCTGAGAAAGCTTTGTTCTCAAAATCACGTTTTCTTTTAAGTTTTAGTAGTAATGTCACAAATTGCCTGAGCCCACATCTTAAGTCTAAGACAACGTCTGGCTTCGAGGATGTTCATTGTCTGTCGCTGACCAACGCAAAAGTGTCTGTGTTCAGAATTTAGGGTTCCACCATTCTCTGAAGATCAGTTTCCCTTGCAAGGCTTTGACTCCTAGAGCTGGGAAGAAGGGCCAGCCCACATTGCTTAGTCGGATTTCAGGACATTCAGCAGTGGCAGGCTGCCCCTGCCTTTGGTGTCGGACCTACTGGTTGGGACGTGCCTCCAACTCCAAGGTAAGAAGAGGTCTCTGCCTCTCGCTGGTCAGCTCCTCTCCTTAGCGCCATTCACAATCTTCTGGTCCTTGTGTTTGGGTTGGAAAAACTCCTCTGCGCCCTGTTCAACCACATGGCATAACATTGAAATCGGGAGAATCATCAGTCACCAGTGCCTCATTGCTGACTCAGTTTGCCATTCCTTCCGTGAGCTGGAGCAGTTCATCCAGCCAGCAGAGACTCATCCCGACCTGCATGTCTTCATCACTGCCACCACACCGGCTCTTCTGGCTCTCCTGGTGGGTGAGGGGACTACCCCTCTTGCTTCTGAGGCTCTCGGCTCTGCTTGATGCACCTCAGAGCTGACTTCATCAGACTGTTCATGCCGAGGGGCAGAGCCTAGCATCTGGTCCTACCCAGTGTCTTCTCTGCGAAGGCTTTTGCAGACGGACTTCAAATCCTTTGTGCGTTTCAGGTCATCCAAGCAGAGATAATCTACCCCCATTTTACCAACTGAACTGGGTGTGTTTTCACTTGCCAAGGAACCAAGGAACCTGTTGTGTTGTAGGGAGAAGCTCCTGGGCAAGAGCAGGCTGTACCAGAGGCTCCCGGCTGACAGCACTTGAGAAACCTTCCTGACCTTTTCCTTTTGAGAACTCACTCAACTTCTTAGTGGACAAAGGTTGGAATATTCCATTGACCTTCCCTGTCAGAAACATGGCTCGTTGCCTTGGCTGGCAGTGATGGGATTGTCTGAGATAAGCTGATTAGATCTTTTCAGCTAACCTTGCAGAACATAGTCTAGAAAGCAGTGAAGTTCAAATATGAAGACTTTCTTTTTCTCATTCAGGATTATTAGTATCTGCAGACAGTTCTAGGGCATAGCTTTCAGGAACTTGCTCTGAGCATGGTGACAATAAAGTACCTAGAGTTGAAATAGTCCAAGAGGAGGGGTGGTTCTTGAAGCTGTTCTCCAGCTCTTGCCCACCATGCTCCTCCTGGGATCAACATGCTGCCTCCTGAGTTCGGGAAATACGCGTAACCAGAAGTGTTGTGATGTCAGAGTCTGTAGCATTTCACATTGTCACATCTTTTAGTCTTAAGTCTCTTCCAAGGAGTCTGCACTGAGGCCATGAATTTTAATCCCATTCATCAAATAAAAAAAGTATTTTTCTTTAAAATCTTTCCTGAGTAAAAGGGCAGGAAACCAACTTCCCTCCGCAGCTTTAGGTTCTGCACAGCTCTTCTGTTGGGGTTGCCTTCAATTCTTTTGTCAGCGTGCTGTCATTAGTGAAAAAAGACGATGGCAAATGAGGAGGCAGATCAGCAAAGCAGAAATCTGACCTAGTCATCTGAACAGCTTGAGTCCACAGCGAGACATTTGCTGTTTCGTTTTTTTCTGTGTCTCTGTGTTAAGGCTGGTTTCTGCCCTTTTAATCTGCCATAGGAGATGAGCCACACGGAGCAGTTTCTGAAGTCCTTTCATCCGAGTTGGCCAAGGCGGGATGCTGTTTAAAATGGAATCCACTCATCCCATCTGCGTCAGCAAGAACCTACACTTGATTTACTGCATCATATTTTTTTTCCCCATATATTTGAATGATTTTGTGCAGCTTGAACTTACGTATTGTGTCAAACGTGACTCTCTGGCCTCATGTTTAAGAAACTGTGTTTTGTGTGCTTGACTTGCAATGACTGCCCTGGATTCAGGAGAGGGAAGAGAAGCTCTGCTTGCTCTCCGTGCTCAGATCCTTCCCAGATAGTGAGAATCCAGGGGGATGCAGAGGAGCAGGTGTGGCTGGGCAGTGGGAAAAGGCCGGCTGAAGGAAGGCTGCTCTCCCCAGTGCAGCCGCCTGCATCTGATGAGAAGAGGGGAAGAGAAACAGAGCCAACGTGCAGCTGCAGCTCGCTCTGCCCCAGCACGGCAGGAGGTGCTTCTGGAACCAGGCAGGGTCCAGCTGGAGGCGGCAGGTGGGCTCGTTTCTCTGCCTGGCAGAGCAGCCACTCCAAGGAAATCCTAATCAGGGGTTTGTTAGTTAGCTACTTTTTTGTCCACTGCATGGTGAAACCAGCAAGGAAGTACATCCCAGAGAGCTTGAGTATCACAGCATCACTAGACTGGTGCTTCAGCCCGACTGGAGCCGCCCACCGCAGCAGCCAGAGGCCACACCAGCGTCTCTCACTGCTGCAGAGGCCATGTGAGGTGCTCAGCCCTCCCTCCCACCCCTGCTGGGGTTTCTCACACCATTTTGCTCCCCATCTCCTCCATCCTGCCCCAGTAGTGCTGCTGCTTTACACCCAGTTCTCCCTGGGGGTGTTTCACTTCCATCTTACGCTGTGGTAGGAATGTAATAACAGAGCTGGACTAAGGAGGAGGGATCTGGCAGGAAAATGGTTTTGGGGATAAACTGTGGTTGAGGGGAGAGGGAAATGCCCTCTGCAGAACAGATGCTCCCTCGGATTGAAGCAGACATGTAGAACAAGGGCAGAATAAGGAATAATAGAGGGCAAGAACTGCCACCTTGTACGTTCAGTTGGTGGTGCTTCTGTTTGCGTGGTTCATCTCGGGCCTCTTAGAGTCATAATCACTTAAGGGCTAATGGGAAAGTGCACCAAAGTGCTTTGTGTGGTTTTAAAATAAAAGACACCATCCAGAGGCTGTTGGGAAAAGTTAGTTGTGTGTGTTTGCTGGTGAAACAGCTGGTGATTGTGGTGGTTGAGGGTATTGCTTTTCTCAGGTTCAGTCTTGATTCAAAGCAGTTGGATTTCAGGAAACATTTAATTAAATCATGCCTTTGGAGAAAAAGAAAAAAAAAAGTAAAAAATGTGCAACTTCTAGTAGCTTTCTCTTGATTCTTTCCTCTAATGGGAATAAAATCCCATTTTAGATTCAGAAGATGGGTGGTGAAAGAACAAAAATTTAGTGTACCAAGCGGGAAGTGATGTCCTTGTCTCTGCTGTTGGATAGCAGGTGTGCACGCAACCATGGTGCTGCAGTGGGCAGTTCGGTGCAGTCCAGTGCATAAAAAAGGGCTTGTTCTGTTGCCCAAACAGAACCCCACTGGGTTACAGTCTGGTGAGTCAGGTCAGTAAGCTGTAAAAAGGTCCAGTTAGAAATGCCGTGGACGGAGCAGGTTGAGGAGCGGAGGCTCTGGCTGGTGTAGCACAAGCAACTGAGCAGGTTTCGAGCCGAAAGCTGTTCCTGTGAGCGATGAGGTTTCCTGACAGCAGGTGTAGGTATTTTGGGGTGTTAGATTTCCCATGCAGGACTAGGTGACCCAAAAGATGGTATGTTTTCAATCTCTCCTCCTGCAAGTAGAGCCTCTGGATAGATTGCTTGATTCTACTGCAGTTTAATTTCTAACATTACTGATTGATGAGCCCTTCACTAGACTTGTACACAGCACTGTGCTTCTCATTGACTTGTCTGGTACTGCTTAAAAACAAACCCTGAGGATTAAATATTAATCATGTATTTGCCCAAGGTTGTGTTGTCCTAGAAGTGAAATGCTGTCCTTGTGTCTTCCAGTATCTTGCCTGTTTGTTATTGAACGTTCTTTCAAAATCCGTTCAGAGATCATTAGTGACAGCTCATTGAATACCTTTTTGGGAAGAGAGTGAGTTGCAGAATGCAATTATACGGGAGGTAAATATGGTCACAACAGCATGACCTGACGTTTGCAGAGTAAATCTGGGAGTAGAGCTCCTGTTTCATCCCGTACCCTGAACCTCAGTTGATCTCAAGCTGGTCAGATAGTTGGTTTATGTAGATTTACCAATACCCTAAAAACGGGGATACTTCCTTGCATCACATGGTGATGAAGTTTAACTTCCCATGTTTTTAGAGCCTCTGAGAGGAAACCTCAGTAACACCAACATGAAAGTTGTCAGCCTGCGTAGCCTTAGTACATGTGTAATCCAGACTAGGCTTTTAGAATTGTACAAAGCTGAATGAAATAATTACCCCACCTGTATTTTTATGAATATTTCTCTGAATGCTTAATTTTATAGCAATAGCTTTGTTTTACCTGTGCGTTTGTTTTGCAGGAAGTTCTATAAGAAGTTGGGTCAGCAGGCATGGCTGGTTGCTGCTATTACTGCCACGGAGTTTCTGATCGTCGTGAAGTACGATCCCTATACGCTCACGCTTTCTCTTCCTTTCTACATCACCCAGTGCTGGATCTTGGGGATTATACTTGTGCTCACTTGGACAGCCTGGCGTTTCTTCATTCGGTAAGCAGAGTTTGAGGCGCTGTGGTCAGGCCTAGCCCGGATCTGGGGGGCAGTGGCTCTGGACATCTGATCAACAGCGCATCTTTGACGTGTGCTGTCATCAGCCTTCAGTGCCTCCTGAAGATAGAGCACAGCCCTGGGATGGCTGCAGCTGCTGTGGTTTGCTGTAGGAATTATTAAATAAACCGGGAGTTTTCTGTGCATGATCCTGGCAGTTTTCTGTCTGGGTCAGCTGTGGTCTTTGTGGGACTGTCACGTTAGTGTCGCTGCAGGAGCAGGTGAACAGTGGAGTGCCTGACTCTACCTGGGTGAGTGATGATGGCAGACGAGATCAGCGTTTTGTTTTTCCTGTGCTCTGAGTTAGACAAGACTGAGACGCTTTGCAGCTTCATTGCAGGAACAGTCTGCTGTGCTAGTGTTGTCTGAGCTGCCACAGCGTCAGCAACAAGTCAGCCAAGTTAAATGCTCTTGGTTTGGATGCTGCTCTGTAAAAGTAAATGAAAAGCAGCTGCACAAGGCTGAAAGGATGACACTGATCTGTAGAGGAGGCCCTGTGCAGCAGCAGTGGCTGCTCTTGCTGGGCATGCTGTCCTGTTAAGCTTGTGGAAGAGCTGGTAGCAGCCAGACTGCTGGCAAGAAACACAAATTTCAAGTGAGTCGGTGCCATCAGCAATTCTAGAAATGTGCAGCCGAAAGACTCAAGTGGGTTAAGTTATCCCAAGGGCACTTGCATCCAGAACAGACTTGCCTCCTTGTCTTTATTGTATATTGGAACTGTTGCTTCACATCACTGGTTCATGTCTGTTTGGTTTTCTTTCTAGTGACATCACTTTGCGGTATAAGGAGATAAGGCGACAGCAGCAAGAGCACAAATATGAAAAGGACAAATGCTTGAGCAATGGTGATGGACTCTCATCGATACTGGATGAACAAAATGGGAACAAACTAAGGGAGAGGAAACTTTGAGCAACAGATAAAGGGCTAAAAGGAACTCGTAGTGCTCAAGTTGGCCTGGACAGTTTCAACCTTATCCTACCTAACTTGTAATTTTTATTGTTAGCTTTCCAAAGTGTGAAAATCCTCTCGAGGGGAAGATGTCACTTTGACACACACACCCTTTCTCCTCGTGTACACCTAGTCAGAGTCGGAGAAAGTCTGTGTAGAGGGAAGTCAGAACCAAAACGGTTGCGACGCGATGGGATCTTCATTCAGGCGTGTTGTATGTCTTCCTTGAAACCAGGGTTTGGAGACAAGGGGCTTTCAAACAAAGCGCAAAGGGAATCTAGCTGATCTATTCCCAGTAAACTGTGAGATTCTGATTTTGACGTTTGGGCATTAGGAACACTTGTTTTGGAGTGTACAGATACCAGACACAGGAAAGGATTTTATTTTTTTTTTTCTGCTGAAACTACCTTGAGCTGTGGAGTAAGATTGTGTAAAGTGTTCAGCCACCAACTGACAGAACTGCAGTGAGAAAAACAGATAAACTGAAACTTGTGAACAAGTTGCGTAACTTGCACAGAATGTAATACAGTACACTACTGTTACAGCCCCTGTAGTACGGGGGTTATTGCCTTTCTCTAAACTGACTTTCCACATCCTGGAATAGCCTACAATAGTTTTATGTTGTATCACAGCTCTAGGGAGACAGACAACTTCTCCTTAGTTCTCTTTTTTTAAAAAAAAATTTCTTTTAGTCTTAGTCATCTCTTAAATGTAAGGGAAGGGTAAATAAGGAAGGTCAACCTGCCTTTCCTTTGCTTCATGGAGTAAAATATATTGCAAGCAGAAAGCTGGGAGTTACTCCGTCAGTCTTAAGTTATTTGCCTTATTGTCGGCTCTTTTAGTTTGCTTACCAAGAGGGTTTCGTTCTCTGTGTCTGCTGCAGGGGCAGGTCAGGTTCTGCCACCCCCAGAGCTGCCCCGTTCCTGCCGAGGTACCTCCAGGCTGAGCGATCTCCCGTGTCCAGCTGGAAGAGGCTTCTCCGCAGCCCCTCACCCCAGAGCTGCCGGGATGTGCCAGCCCCGGGGAGAGCACAGCGAGGCAGCGGCGGCCTCCCGAGCAGCTGCGGGGGTCTGCAGGCCAGGCCAGGCAGCGGTACTGCTGGTGACTCAGCATCTAGGAAGAGAAACTGGAAACCTGGGCTGCTTTTTCTTTTTCTTTGGGGGTCATTATTTCAAAATGTTAAGTGCTACACTAAGCATCAGTTTTGTAACCTCTGCTCTAAGGCTTTGAGTTGGCGTCTGAGGCACTGATGTAACTGTAACCATGTCACTTTTTAAATACTGTGATCTAATCTGGCTGTTAAGGGATATTTTTCAGGGAGGTGTTTATCCAGAAGAAAGTGACATAAACACCCCCGGTAAAATTTCAAGAGCGCAACTCCAAATTTTTTAAGTGGCAGGAGACTTGCAGAGCTGCTAACTAGCAAACATCCGCATTTTTGATCTGGTTTTGTCTTGTGTGGGAACACCAGCCCAAACCTGCATTTCTCCCGTGTTTACAGTGACCCAGGTACTTTCCACCCCGAGCAACTGGGCACTGCCTTCAGTTAATGAAGCGGTTTGGTTGCATCTGGAGAGCTCAACAAATGAAGGAGAGGCGGTGGGCCGGGGGCTGCCCCAGCTGCTGGCAGAAGCGGTGGAGGGTGACCGGTACGAGAGGTGGCATCGGGCTTCTCTTGAGTCACTCAGGGGCTGCTCGGAAATGATCCTGTGGTGCTGCTGTGAGGTAGTGAAGAATATCTGGCTGTGTAACTAGGTGCTGACAGTTTGAAAACGGGCAGAAAGTGCAGAGTTAAGTATTTATTTCTATGCCTTCCCAGCCAGAGTCGTTCTAGTTCCAGCTCTAGCCCAGCCTTACCAACTGTTCCCTGACTGTTTGGTAGCTCGTACCAGTGTGTTGTGCTCGTGTGGTCCCAGCTGAGCGAGGCTCAGGTCAGGCTGTCTCCATTCTCCTTGTGCTGATGAACACTGGCCCCCCTCGATCGCTTTGCCCACGACCTCCCAGGCCCGTCTCACAGTTCGGGTGGTAGCAGGCACCCCCAGGAGGGACCTTCCTCCTCCCTTCCCCACCAAAGACCCTCCCCCGAGGTACATTTGAAACAACTGGTGAGGAATAGCGGGTGCTCGAGGTGTTCTGCATCTGTCCCCTGGTAACGGCTCTGGAGCTTTGACCTAATACATAAACCACTGACTTGTTTGTCTACACTCATCTCAACAGCTTTTATGGTTAGTCTGGATAACCGAACCGGTGTAATAAAGCGATGTTTGCTGGTGTGTTCTTTGGTACAATGTGTGCCTGCTCCTGGTTTCTCTCTCCGTTGCCTTGCAAGTGCAAGTTGCTCTGAATTCCCTCTGGCAGAAGGGCTGTTGGCTGCCTCGGTGCTCTCCCTAACAGATGCTGGGCCCTGACCTAACGAACTTGTCCAGATTCTCAGAGAAAAGGGGTGTTAGAGGCCCTTGCTTCGCTGGTGTAATTCGGAAGCGCTCTTTGCCTGCTGCGAGTGGACTCAGGCTGTGCACGACCTGTGGGGTCAGGTCGTGGTCCAGCGTGTCCCTCCGAGCAGTGCCCGCTGTTGTAGCTGTGCTCTGATTGTTGGGATCTTGCCTGGCGCTGGGAATCCTTTTGTGGTCATCTCTTGGGGAAGTTCTCTGAAGCAGCCTCCTGAGAAGATGAAAGGACAGCTGGTAAGCTGCACTTTGGGGTGGTGTAAAATGAGGCCACCCCTGTGGGGATGAAGGAGGCGACGCTCTCCCACCTCTCTACACATCTGTACCCCTGCTGGGCATTTTCTCGCTTCCTTTGTCAGAAAAGGGCTCTGAGATGCCTCCGTGCGGGTGTGCCCAGGCACTGGGAGTGAGACTGGCCAAAGGTGAGTTGCTGGCGTTGAAAGGGAGGACGCGGGGGGGGCGTTGTGGGTGCAAGTGTGCTCGGCTGATGCTAGGGGTGACTTTTTTTCTTGCAGGTGGTATGAGGCTTTTGGAATCGTCAGTTTTTTACAGTGTAAAAAACTTTCCCAGGAGTATTTTGACCAGGAATAAATAGCTGCACAGTGGCGAAACATGCCCTCAGAAGCAGACTCCAGCTGAGGTACCTCTGCTACATCCCCGTGGTGGTGAAAAACCAACCAAAAACCCCACGAGGGTGGGTGGGCCACCTCGACCCTGCCTGACCCCCTCGTCTGTGGGTCACTGGAGGGGACTCCAGGCTGCAGGAGGAGGCTCCTCTCCCACCCAGGCAGCGTTTGTGGGTTACAGTCAAAACTTGGGTCTGGTTTCTCTCTGAAAATTAATTTCCTGACAGGAAAATCATGGCCCCAGCTCCCAGGCTGGCCCTCCCGCGGTGGATGCGGTGGGTTTTCCTGGGAACGGAGAGCCCTCCATGCTGTCGTGCTGCCCTGCGGCCGGCTGAGCCCTCCTGGCTGGGGGTGCATGGGCTTCTTCCCCCACAAAATTGCGATTATTTTGTTTTCTCCCAGCCAGGCGGAGTGAATCTTTTGCTGTTAGAAACGGCTCCTTGATCCCCTACAACTGTGGTCAGGTGGCTGAAAATGGGGAGGGGAAGGGGGGGCAGGAGAGAAGAAGGGGAAGAGTGGCAGGACAGCCCGTGTAGGGGAAGTCTGGCCGATGCTCGCTTTTGCCGCGGAGCTTTCGGGGGGGTTCCTGACCAACAGGCAGGGCTGGGGGGTTCCTGACTAACAGGTAGCGCCCAGACCTTGCGGCGGGAGCCCCCCCGGTACGGCCGGGACCCCCCATGTCCCCGCACCTCGGCTGGGGAGGTTGACGGGGGGGCGG